TCTAGGGATTCCGCCGTAGAGAGCGTAGTGTTGAAGAGGGACAGCGATGAGAGTCGCATCAATGCTCAAATCAACGGGCAAGGAAGGGGTCCCATTTCTCGGGTTCTGGGCCGTTTCTCATGGTTCTTCCTTCTTTCGTGTCACCATCCCTAGGTTAATTTGAAATGGGTTGCTTTTTCATCGTGAATTCGTCCTTTAAGGCCATTAGTGGCCTTGCGGAGCCCCATGCGGTCGGCAGGCTGCAGCCCATATGAGCTGCATGCTCTCCAATTTTTCCGGGACTCAAGCTCATCTGAGTTTTGAAAACTTGCTTCTACTTTCGAGGGAGACATGCAAGACCTTCTGCAAGAAAGTAAAAGCAAGTTTCCAAAGAATTTGACTAACGAAAATGGAAATGAACGAAATAACTTGAAGAAAGTATTGTGGTCATAGCTAACGGAATTACCTTCGGCGAAAACCAACCCGTTCTTATGATCATAGCTGGATCCAGTTTTCCAATAGTTATAAAGTTTTTTCCGATCATCCGAAGAATTCCATTGTGTTTCAGAGTTAGAACACGTAATTTTATGGCCGTAAATGCGCGCAACTTTCCGAGATTCACATGGAGCCGAGCGCGACGTTCGCGACGCGACGACGCGACGGTTCCACTTCGGCTAATGATTTCAACTGTCTGTCGTCGTTTTTTCACACAAGCACACACGTACATTCTCAAGTAACGGACGACGACAGTACGCCTGCGACCAACACTTAGTCGACCTTAATTGCTCAGCAGGTAGATGGCGGTTTTTTTGCTTTCCGCCGACACCATAAGAACCAAAGTTGTTTGATATTTTTCGAAAACAGGAAAACGACCTCGACGATGTCGTAATGATGAGTATAAAAGCGTGTTCAAGAGTCAGACCACCATGTTCAGCATCAGCACAGCAACTGCTGGCGTCGACAACACAACAATGCTCACCGACAAGAACATCGTCGCCGTGTCCTCACTGGCCTCAATCCTGGCCATCGGTGCCTGCCTCGTCGTGATTCCATCGCTCTACAATGAGATCAACGACGTCCACAATATGGTACGAAATTTCCACTTTGTGTGACCCAACACAGAAGGGGCGTGGCTTAGCCGCGTCACACAGGCGCGTCGCCTGTTTTGAAAAAAGACTTTCTAAATTCCCTGTTAAGGTACTTGATTCGGTGGCCGTGTTTCGTGTCGAGACCGACTCGGCCTGGGTCGAGATGATGGACGTTCAAATAACGGTGACACCGCCGTCAAAACCTCGTCAGAATCCGTTCAACTCGATCTTCCGTCAGAAGAGACAAGCTCTACCACCGTGGTGTGTCTGCGAGCCACCCAGGATCACATGTCCACCTGGACCACCTGGTCCACCTGGCCAGCCTGGACAGCCTGGTAGGCTCCTTAAAATATTTTCTCTAGCATTTTCCGAAAATAATGTTCCGATTCCTAGGTAACCCTGGTCCTCCCTGTCAGCCCGGAAGAGATGACATGACTGTCTACGCTCCCATTCACTGCCCAGCTCCTGATCGTTCTTGCATCAGATGTCCGCCGGGACCTCAAGGACCGCCCGGACCCGATGGACCTCCAGGACATCCAGGAATGGACGGCAGACCAGGAAACCCTGGCCCTCGCGGAGAGAATGGCAAACCGGGACCACAAGGTCCCCCAGGAGACGGAGGAACTCCAGGACATCCTGGAATGGATGGGCGACCTGGACAACCCGGTCAGGACGGACGCAAAGGCGTTGGACGGCAAGGAATGCCTGGAATGCCTGGAGCACGTGGAGAACCCGGCAAAGCGGGAGCTCGTGGAAACGATGGTGCACCGGGTACACCTGGACACCAGGGACCACCTGGACTTGCGGGAACTCCCGGAAACAAGGGCATGGATGGCCAACCGGGAACCGCCGGAATGCCTGGACGTCCGGGAAGAGACTCCACCTACTGTCCTTGTCCTCGCCGCAGTATGGCGCTCACGAAGAAGAAAAAACTCTGAAGGACATTATTCCTCTAACGAGTGGAACTGAAATAGTAGTGTGTCACTGCGTAAGGAACCGCAACGGTTCAATAAAGATTTCGCAGGAAATTAGTCGAAAAATACAGGAACATAATTACCATAATATTTATTGACGAAACTGAATATTGTAATCAAAAAATCTAACAATACACACGCTTACAGAAATAAGTAGTAGTAGAATCGAAACCTATGATGACAACGGTAAATATATAAGTATTGACAAACCCGGCCAGGGGTAAGCCGTGGAACCATCCTTGTAAAATCTTCGTAGACTCGATTGATAACGGGCGCAACGTCCACATAATCACAGATGATTCACATCAGTCCTGTTAGGACGGGCCGCCTTCCTCCTTAGATTAAAGGCAGCGATTACGATAAAGTGGGAGCGCATCGGCGGAAGCATATGCACCACACGAAGTCAGTTACTTGGCTGCCAGGGAAGCGAGGTGCGCTGGTTGCTGAGCAGGACTTCGAAAGCACTCCGCCCCCAAAAGCGATCCGCCCACTAGTTTAGTTGGTGATTTGGACGAGCTGCGTTGCCAGCAGCGGCACAACTGAAGCAACTCGACTGTAGCATGGATTGGCATGCTGTACGCGTTGCGCTGAACTCGTTCATACGTCCGCTTACCTGTTCATGAGTGAAAACCAACGGCCAAAAAGGGGGTCCCGTTTTGCGTTTTCTTGACGGATTTCTCCGCTTTTTTTCGCTACTGGCGTACCATTGAGCACCACCAGTCTCCTATAAACCCTTCTTGAATCTATCGTAATCACTGCCTTTAAGGAAAATAGAAAAAAGAGAAATATTCCGTAGCATTGGCAACGGGCTATTATTTCTCAAGACCCATTAGTCCCAGATTGCTATTCGCTGCGCAACGATCGGGTACCCCCCAGGAGGCCCGTCGCGCGGCAAGAAGGCAGAGTCGCGGACGAGTTGCAGCGCGTGATGTGCGATGTAGGACGTGCAATGGGACACTCTTAACTTGACGCGAAATCCCTATAGTACGCGCGCGACTCGTCCGCTGACTTTGCCTTCTTGCCGCGCGACGGGCCTCCTGGGGGTACCCCCGCTCGCGTTAGCGTTTCTTCGTCGTTACCGTCTTCGTGGCACTGAATTTCTGCGGTGCGGCGGGACCTGGTCTGCGGCTACCCAACGAGGGCAGCTCTTCCCTATCAGCATAAATTCCAATCCAACATGGAATTCAGGGAGGCCCCTCCTGAATATTACAAAACACTCATTTTCCACCAGAAAGAGTGTACTGCTTCATCCAGCAGTGGCTCGCCCATCTGTGTCAACTTCCAGCTCCAGCGCTCATAACGCGGCAAACGCTTACGGCATTTCTGGCTAGTTGTCTAGGCGTACTGTAGTACTTTAGCGTAAAATTAAATAAGATGGAGTATATTACGTCGTACATCCTAACGCGGCGTTTGTTCAGACCCTCCATTTGATTGAAAGTTCTTCCATGTTA